TCTGTCTGATGCTAAATTAAATTTACATTTAGAGCTACCCCTTCGGTGTCAGGTGCAATGTGTACCTGCCAGATTGCAGTTTTCCTTTAAATGAGGATGAGACTCATTTGTGGGAAGCAGTTTCTGAGTGCAAGAGAAAAAAAATTCTCTGTAGTGATAAGGAGAAGGTTGAACCAAAAATGCATCCCGTGCCGTTTGTGGGTTAATGAAACTTTGTGGTCGTGCTAGGTGCAGTGGAGCTAGGAGCCTGACTAGGATTCCTAGCTCTCTGTTGTGACTAATGGAGAGATTCACATGCCATCTGTGATCCCTCTTCTTGGAACTGGCAAACTGCTCGAGTTAAATAATTTTTTTTTCTAAATAGAAAGCCATTGTAGAGCATTACACTGTGCAATCCTCATGATTTAGGAAGGAAACAACTAGCCAGAATTTAATACAGGGTATCCAAAAGACATTTTCTGAAACTCAGGCCCCAGGTATCCCCCGAGTACCATCAAAAAAAAAGAGAGTAAGCTTCAGATTTAACTTCATACTTGAACTTCAGTGTCAAGAAACCGCAGTGCATCTGTCAGAAGGACGTAAGCATGAACAAATCTTTGCATTTACTTTTGAAAATCGATGCCTGCTGATTCAGAACAGTAATACAGGTAGCATGTGCTCCCCTTAGTCCAATCATATTTGGATGCTTTAGCAGTGATGTTACAGTCTCAGTGTAGCTTACAGCACGCACTGAGTTTTCAGATATATCATCGTCTGAAAATAGCTTCGCCGGCAGATCCTCTACAACCTTTAGCACCAGTATGTTGCGGCCAGCATCGTATACAAAGATAATAAAAATCTTCCAGCTCTTTGCTTCTGTCAAAGTACACAGTGTTAGGGAAGACCCATGTGTAGTCTGAAAATTGAAGCGACTCATTTAAGAATGCAGATGTCACAGCACTAAGACTTCCATTTCAAGAACGTAGTTATTGCTTCAAACCATCCGTGTGACTGGTTCAGAAATATGTTTGGGCTGAGGAGTGAAGGAAAATGTTCAGAGAAATGCACAATGATGCCGTGAGCATGGGTAGTGCTGCTGGCTTCATTTTATTGTATTTGTTGTGCGCACAAATTGTGAAGCTGCAGTAGGGTCAGTTCACTGCTGGTCTCGGATCTAATAACACGTATTAAAATACCAACAGTCTGAGTTTTCTTGGCAATGACTAAAGAGTTAGAGTGATACTTCAATACACATGTTGGGAGGTCACTAGGAACTAAGCACAACATAATGTGGCATTATGGATATAAGCCATGCTATCTATTTGTATGTGGAAATGCAGATTTGATATCAAGCAATCAAAAGCTTTTCAGTTTAGTAAATGCCATGATTTTTTTTTTTAAATTAGGAATGCTCTCTTATATTTTGAATATCAAGCCTCTCTGTTGGCATTTAGGATTTTCTTGCTCTTAACCAATACTTGATAGTGTCCACTTTGAGCAAAAGAAGATGATCTTTAGTGGTTCTTGAAATAGGTTTCCCCAAAACTGTTGTTAAGAGTTCTTCTAAATGGTTTTGAATTTGATGATGCAAAATACCTCTGAATGAAATTTTCAGGAAAACAAGTTTGGATACCAACATTTACCTCTTTGTTGGTGGGAAGGGATTTTAAAAAGATTCAAGTGCAAGCTGAAAAAGATGTCATTTCATCACCACTATACTGTCTACAACTTAAAAAAGAGATAAGAACTGAAATAAGCCTGATTCATGTTTAGGCTTTTGAAAGCCTGAAAAACAATTTAGAAGTTTTATGTTGGAAAAAAGGTGTTATGGCATATTTGTTTAAAGAAGGAAAAAAGACATCTTAATCTGCAAGAATCCAGAGAGAGGGCATATCACACAGAGTGGATGCTGTGGGCTCATTTACCTTCTTCTGAGTTTTGTGCATAGCTCTTGAATGCAGCACCTTACAAGGAATGGGTTTGTTAAGATAACTCGGGATGAGTTATCCAAGAAGAGGCTGTCGAAAGTAATTTGTAGTAAGATACTGATTTTAAAAATGCAGGGTAGCGTAACAACAGGGAGAAGTCCATCCTTCCTAGTTCGAGTGAAGATGCAGTATATTTTCTTAAACCATTGCAGTGGTGTTTTCTCTAAATTAAGTGGGGTTTTTTTTGTATTTAGTCATCCTTTGGATAATATTCATAGATTCCATAAAGAGATAACATGGCAGGCAGAGAGTATTAGGTGTTACTTGTCAAGAAATACTGTCCCGAAATTAAGATATTCTTGTTTAACTTTTTGATTTAAACTTCTAAAACTATAGAGTTGTGAGTTTACAGATAGCCAAGGGACCAATGTGATAAATGCTAACTTTAATATTCTCTAAGTTAAGACTTAATCATTTAACTGCCAGTAGCTACCAGTAAAGGCTGAAATTAACTGAAGCTTTTTACAACGGGATGCCCCCACCTGAATAGTTCTGAACGCAACTGAGTATTTCTGTTAGTTTTGCAAAAGAAATATTTGAACTGGACTGATTTGCTGCTACTAATGTAGATATCTGATGTGTAGATATGATGCCTATTTAAAAAATGGTGTTGCAGGGTAATATATATTTCAATATATACAGTCTCTTCAGTTTACAAAAGAGTTTGTCAGAGTGACTCCAAGTTAGTTCTCTGATCTGGGCAGATCCCTGGTTAAGGGAGTATAAAAGAAATCCTAATGAGTGTTCAGTGCTAGGGGTGTCTTTGGGTGTTTGGTTTTTAGCTAAAAAGCAGTAAGCAGGGTTCAAGTTAGTTGCTATAAAATAGCTTATTTATGATATGATGATATGAGTGCCAAATTTTCAGCCTGGTAAGCAAACAGACTAGGAAAAAGCCTTGAAACATGGGGTTTGTCCTGGGTCTTTGGCCCTCAAATGTAGCATTGCTGGCTAGACACCACTTGGAAATAAAAAAATAATTCTAGGCTTTGTTTAGCTGTTACTGAGGAACTGATGTATACCTCATTTAAATAGCTCCTACAAGGAAGGTGTTGTTTAGGTAATACTGTAATTTCATATGTGCAGTAAAGTCACAATAAAGAAACAGTGCCTTATGCTTTTAATAGTAAATATTTACTTAGGTTGTGCAATGCTTTCTCACGTTCTTAAGATATTTTCTATGATTCTTAAGCTAGGGGATTCATGTTTACGTATTAAATTGTCAAGTTATATAGGCACTTTGTGTAGC